GGAGAGGCCTTTCCGATTTCGATGCTACTTGGGAGCCAATGGAAAAAATGAAAGAGCAATTCCCTTCATTTCACCTTGAGGACAAGGTTAGTTTTTGAGAGGGGAGTATTGTTATGCCACCGGCCCAGGAGGGGCCAGCTGGACCGGTCCTCTTTTACTCCAGGCAGCCCAATCTGGGCGAAAATTAGAGCAGGAAAAGGGGGGTGGCAGCCCTTGTGGGCCCAAGCAATTAATGTAATGAGCTTTAGGAGGGAAAATTTGAATTAAGGGGCTGTTTAGGGATTTCTAATTAGTCCTTTTTGCTTTAATTAGGAGTTAAGGTGTGAGTTAGGGTTTCATCTGGAGATTGGCTGAAATTTTGAGATCTCTTCTTGGTTTTGGACTTTAGGCTTTGCTAGAGAGTTTTGGAGAGTTGTTCTTCCTCTCGAATTGAAGAACATTGTATCATTTATTATTTTTATTCATTCACTAGTGGAATACAAGTGATTTGTTTGGTTTTCTCTCATATTTCCATCAGTTTTCTTCTGTTTGGGTGCTGTTTTCTGCAGTCAACAGCAGTAAATCTGCTGTTTGCTCATCCGTTTTGGTTAGGTTTGCTTGCGAACTTAAGTATTACCTTAGGGTTACTTGCGGACTCAAGTATTTCCTATCACCATCTTGAGGGGAAAGTTCGAAGGAAGGTTCAAATTTGGGGTATAAATCATGGGGTATCAACCTAATTGGAAACTTGTGAATGACAGGATTCAGATCCCAAAATTGTTGCTTCAATAATGTAAGAATTTTCCAGATTAAATCACATGAAAAGGCTTATTTGTTCTTGCTATTTGTCCATCTATGGAATCATAATTGAGATGCTTCCATTTTTTATTTCCATATATGTTATATGAAATAATGGGCATCAAATGTTATCTTATGTGCAATAGTTTCTTCCCTGTTTAAGTGTGTATTAGTAGTATTTTCTTTCCTAGTTTCCTCAACCGCTCAACGTTCTATATATTGTACCAGTTTTGTATGTTTTGGACTATGATAAGATTTATTCTTTCCTGTACTGGATTCTGGTTTTCTCATTCATGTCAACATTTGAGTAGAAACTAATTCTCTTATATACCGATTGAAATGCTTGATGATTGTGGGCTCGGAAAATTTGTGCTGCGCTTCTTTTTATATTGACGGGGAGAGTTTAATGAGCTTAGATTCCGGGATAAATTTTTGGAAGACAGATTAGATTTTAGATAAGACATTACACAAATATTTCAACCTCATTTTATGAGGACTTCATGATCTGAGATCTGGTTTCCCATAGGCACAAGCCCATACTATGGTTAATTACTCCTGGTAACGAGAGAGCACTTTTGATAAAGGCTAGTCATTGAATAGGCATAAATATCCAGCATATACTAACAACAACTTTGAGGTTTGGATTTTGAATTTTTAGAATTTTTAGAATTTTGAAATTTATCACCGTATGCTTAACGCGAATGATGGGGTAATGATGACGGGCTCGATCAAGATCCCATGATTCCATCATCCTGCGATGTCATGGTCCCTAGTCTACTTAATCATAAGAGGTATTGACTCAACCTAAAGGGTGGAACCTTGTTGGCAGTTATGGGTTGCTTCGTCCAAGGATACGTTGTAAACCCAGGTTGGATGTTTGTCTAAGGGTATGAATTCCAGTAAACCATAGCTAACAGAGAGCTTATATCTTATCGAGCGCACCCTATAATATATTACTCAATGGGCTTTTAACTATTACGGAACATATAGGCTTTAGCCATGATTATAATATAGTGGTGTTATTTTGCAGTAAACCCACTCGGTTAGATGACACATGCCACATCCCTACTAGTGAGAAATCAATTGAGAATGAATTTTAGTAATACATTCAATAAGATATCAACTCTTTGTGAGTTGAAATTACTCTTAGATTCTTATCATCCTAAACAAACAGTTACAAAGTGTGGATGGATTTTAGTTTTAAGCTTTTGATGATGGATTACATTTTAAGAAATTAAACTTTTAGTGGGAATTGAATTTAGGATTTTTCAGAATGAATGAATTTAGATTTTTTAGGGCATTTTGAAACTTAAATAGCTCTCTTCGATTAAATTTCCTGTAAATATGGCTATCTTCGAGGTGTTTGAGCACTTTTAGCAAATCTATGAAGGATTATCAGATCTCTAATTTAGGAATTTGACATAAAGATCATAGCACATGCGGAACTTTGCAGTGTAACGGCATAATGATTTTGACACATCAACTAATGTTCATTTTTTTTATATTCATTGATGTACAAGTATGATACACCGGCATAATGCATTTTGTACATTATTCTTGCATAATGCATTTTATATTGTTATTGTATAATACAAATTGCATATTGTCCTTGCATTATAAACTTTGCACATTGTATTTCAAAGTTTAATATTTTGGGTTTGGAAGTTACTTTGTGAGATGTATGAAGGATTTGAAAATATTCTAATTTGATGATTTGCACAAAAAGACTCTTTTTTAGAAAAATATGCAACATTCATTATAAAATTAAATGACTTTCAATCTCTCCCGAGCTTTAGAATTAATCTTCAATTTATCATCACTTTCTATTAGTACTAGAGCTCAAAACAAAATTTCATATTTAGTTCTAATTTTTTAGCATTTTGGATGTTATTTTGTGCAACTCATAACTATGTTTTATATAAATAATCCAATCTAAAGCTCCAAAATGGGAAGCGAGCAATCATCTGGAAAGAAAATATTTTCATTTGATTAAAATTAAATTAGATGTGTATAATTTTTTCATTCATTCTTTTTTATTTAAGTATGTGAGTGTCCTTTGACTTTTAAAATTTTGGCAGCCTCCTAACATCTCCCCCGTGTCAGGGGCATCAGTAAGCATTTGTCTTTTAGTCTTTCCATTCGGATCAAAGATACGGTGAACGCAGGATCTTCGTATGTTCTCATTCTTCCCGGCCTGATCAAAAGATCAAGGGACACGGGGTCTTCTTATGTTCTCATATTTCCCGGCCTGATCAAAGATCAAGGGACGTGGGTCTTTGATGCTTGTTGTTTGAGCAAGTAAGAAAGTAATTTATACCTTTAGTGTACGACAAAAGACGACGATGACAGGGATTTGGAAAGTTAAAAACTTTTTTCCCTGATATATATATATATATATATATATGGGTAGAGAGAAAATAGGTCGTTGGATGCCTGGGGCATCGAGAGTAGGGAGGACGGTCTTGAGTCTGGGGCGATTGAGTTCGGCATAGTGAGATCGAGAGAGGGGCGTGTTAATAGAGAAGGGAGATGGAGTCTTCATATAGGTGAGAATAACGGTTTGTTGCAAGTTTTTCAGTCAGCACTTGCAAGAGGATGATGGGATGGTGGTCGAGACAATAGGTGGGGGACGACAATGGTGGAGGCTACACGGGTGCACGAGATGGTGGCTGGGTCGGTTAGGGTGTAGGAGGTCGAGTAGGTTGGACGTGGGCACGGATTGGGGGCGGAAGGCTGAGTTGTAGTGTCTCACAGGGGCTACAATGGCCAGGCTAGAGCACAAGGAGAAGGCGAGCGCAGGCCGGCGGGTCGACCTGGGCACGAGTTTTACATGCGATAGAACAGCAAAGAGAGGAGAGGAGAGGGTAGTTCGACTCTTGCGTGCGGTACCAAGAAAACAGGGGAGAGCTCAGGTTGGGATCACGAGGGGATCATGAGATCGTGTGTCCAAGGAGTTATTCGGCTAGGCCCTCTAACGTGCTTGAGTGTTATGAGCGGTTACGAGGAGTTTGGTTAGTGGATTGGTGTATCAATGAGTTGGTGGTCAACAATAATCACATAGAAGTATGCCAAAACCTGACAATGAAATTGACATAGGGGTGGTTGTTTGATTTGAAGTAAAGTCGGTGTAAAGTATTCCTTTTGTATGGGTTTTGAAAATATTGGAGTGTGGTTATAAGAAAAAGGAATATAGTATAAAGTATTTCAAATGCAGTGTAAAGTATCTAGTTCAATTTTAGAAGTAAACAAGCCCAATATCAGCACTTGCAGGAGGGCGAACGGATGGTGGATGAGACAACAGGTTTGGGACAACAATGGTAGAGGCTACACGGGCGCACGAGATGGTGGCTGGGTCGGTCAAGGTGTGTGAGGTCAAGTAGGTTGGACATGCGCACGGGCTGGGGGTGGAAGGCTAAGGTGTCGGGTCTCACAGGGGCTACAAGGGCTAGGCTCGAGCACAAAGAGATGGCGAGAGCAGGCCGACGGGTCAACCTGGGCGCAATTCTTGCATACGATAAAACAGAAACAAGAGGAGAGGAGAGGGTAGTGCGGCTCTTGTGTGCGGTACCGAGAAAATGAGGGAGAGCTAGGGTCGGGATCATGAGATTGTGTGTCCAGGGAGTTGTTTGGCTAGGCCATTTAACGTACTTGAGTGTTGTGAGTGATTATGAGGAGTTATGTTAGTGGGTTGGTGTGTTAGTGGGTTGGTGGTCAACAATAATCAAATAGAAGCATGCCAAAATCTGACAATGAAATTGACATATGGGTTGTTTGATTTGAAGTAAATTGGGTGTAAATTATTCCTTTTATATGGGTTTTGAAAATATTGGGTTGTGGATGGAAAAATGAATATAACATTATAAAGTATTTCAAATGCAATGTAAAGTATCTAGCTCAATTTTTAGAAATAAACTCGTTCAATTTTGAGTGAGAACCTTACGGCCACTATTGGATACCGACCACCACCATCTTTGGGCTTTCCACTGAATTCATTTTACTTGAAGCAAAAAAAAAAGTAATCTCATGCATTCCTTTTATACTCATCAAAACAACTTCAATTATTCCAAAAATGCTACATTCATTTCACACTACATTCCTTTTACTCTTCATTTCTTTTTCAACAAACCAAAAAGCCCTATAATAAGCATTATAATAGACAATGAAAGACCAAATATAAAGAAAAGCAGTCACAACATTAAAGAGAGTGAGAATGACAAGTAAACCTTGACTAACCGAATGAAAGCCCTCTCCCAAGCCACAGCCTTCCCGTTTTGATTGCCAGTATCACCAGCCTCATTGTTGACAGGATATGTAATAATGAAAGCCGATGCCTGGCCAGCAAACAGTCTCTTATGAGAAACAAGCATTCTATTCATCTTTGTAAAAGTAGAAGATCATTTACATCAGAGTAGTTGCTTCCAGAAAATCCTCCTAGCACTGTGCCTGGATCGAGTGGTGCTTGGAAAGCACTTCTGCATGTTTCTTCTGAAGAAAAATGCTGAGAATTTCAACCAAAAAGCAGCATATCTCAGAGAAAAATATATTTAAAGATGTGAACGATGGAAAACAAGTTGGGCGCACCCCAAAATTTTGAAATAAGTTAGCACCTAAAAACATTCTGCAGCAGAGAGTAGATTTATCACATGGCAAAAGAGTTATGCAGTTATTTAATTCGGTAAAACTTTACTATCTACACAATTCCTATATGATTATAGTGCCAAAAAAGAACAATCATGAGAATGGGCAAAGAGGGAAAGTGGCCGTAAAAGAAGCTGATGAATCCAGCATCAAAAAAGTAAATAGACATGCACTTCTCATTTAATAATAAGCATAATAACCACATAAACCAGGTAAACTCACCTCAAAACAATATTCAGCATGTTGTACGCCACCATAATCATCATATCTCTTTTGATTCATTTTGAAATACTGATAAGAAGAAATAATTATTTTGTCATGTGAGGGATGATGCTAGAGTTCATGGAGGAAAAAAAGAAAGACAAACATACACATGCAAACTTGAAGAATTGTCCAAGTTCAATGAAGAAGACATAGATGAACAAAAACACATGCATAAAGCAAGTGAGATTCTATTATGACGATCAAACAATTTTTTATGGGATCCAAACTGCGTCTTACACAAGGATGATAAGTCTACCACACTAATTGCCATACTAATGTCTATGTTGATGATAATCATTATAATAGGGGTTCATAATTTGAAGACAAGTATCTTGAAAGAAAGGCTAGCTAAAGAGTTTGAATCAAAGACATTCATCCTCTTAGTATTTTCTCGAGATGAAAATTACTATAAACAAATATGGTATCACCATTTATCAAAGAAAATATCTTCTTGATTTAAAAAAAAAAAAACTAGTTTGACTAGGAGCAAATCTGTTGACACCCAAACACTAATCAACCATAAAATTGAGTGAACTTAGAACTAGTACTCCAATCAAGAAGGGATGACCATAGATTGGTTAGGAAATTTATTTATTCATCTCATACCAGACTTGACATCACCTTTGCAATCGACATAGCAATTCAGTTCAAGCATGCACCTTATGAATAACACAATTATTTTCACGAGATAAATGGAAACCCAAGATGGGGGAATTTTTCAAGAAAAGGAAAACTCCATAGTTGATAGGAGATATGCATTAAGGTAATGCACCTATAATTGGACATAACATACTGATGTCGATTAGTTAGACTACATAGTTTATAAGAGATTTTCATTAAGGTAACGCACCTATAATTGGGGTAATCTTGTGAAATGGAGAGCTAAACTTAAAATGATATGGCAAGTAGCAATCCAAAAGCAATACCCAAAAGCTTGGAAACTAGGATTAGTGAATTAACCTAGCTTAAGTTACTCCTATAAGAAATCAAAGTCAGTCAAGGTTCCTATAATAATATATTAGGACAACAATGTTGCTATTACTATAGTAAATAATCTAATCCATTATGATTGAACTAAACATGTAGAGGTAAATCAAAACTACATCAAAAAAAATTTCAAAGTCAAGATTTGTATGTTACCTCACTAACCAGATTGTTGACATCTGGACCAAAGGATTGACTAGACCAATATTTAAAAAAAAATGATTAAAAAGCTTGGCTTATATGATATTTACAAACCAGCATACGAGGGAGTTTAATTTCGCAGCTATCATTTCCTATGAAAAAGGGAAATAATAAATTATTTTTTAAAATTACTATACTTTCCGTTTCCATAAATGAATTACAACATGCAATTATCATTAGGGGCTGGCGGTTATTAATCCCTAGATGGTATCCTTGCTGGCATGACTCATATATTGGCATGCGCTAGTAGCGAATTCTTCCAGGATTGCATTTCTAGCAGGGTATTAGCCTTCACACATTGTAAATATGCCTTGGAATAACGACAGCTAACATTGGGTTGTAGGATGGTTGATTCATAAGAATTCTATCAAGTAATAATTAATAGTTTTCTATGTAAAACTTGATGCAATTTTTTTATTTCCATTCTCGTAAGGATTTGTTAATTTCATCCATATATATATAAAGCAAAAGCATCAACACGCAAGAATCATCTGAAATTTTGTTTTTGCTTCCATATGTCAATGCTCACACCATCGGAGATTGATTATGTCCCTACATTTCTTCCATGTGTTACTTTTGGGTGGAGGTGAGTGTTAATGTTGATTGGAGAAGCTGGTGACATTCAAATTCAATTAAACCTCACTTTTTCAACATAAATTCCACTCCTATATAAATTCTTTAATTCTTAGGTGGATTTGGACTCAATTTTGGCTATCGTTTAGGCTCCAGCATTTTGTTTGTGGAGATACCGTAATTCTTAGTTTACTAATAATGTGATTTAATTGACCATTTGTCATCGATGCCCATAGCTCTTTGTTTTGTTGTGTTAATGTTTGATAAAATTTGGTGGTGTTCTATTTCTTCTAATGCTATCAGCTTTTTCCTGCATATTTTTTTACGTGGGATTAGGTTCCTTTTTGTTGACCTCTATTCAGATAAAAAAAAATGAAATAAAAAAATGCATACATGTCGCTGCCAAATCCCGCAAAACCTGCTCAAATCCCACTAGAACACTGTAGATGAGGCGCCGTTCTAGTCAAGTCCTCCGCAATCCCTGCCGAAATCCAGCTCTCAATCGTTGCCCCTTTCTCGTGTTTAAATACCGAACGAATTCCTGCTCGTTCCACTTCCAGTCGCTGCTCTATCTCCCACGACACTCTCTGCTCCCACAACCCTAGATCCCGTCGCCTCTCCTCCACTTGACCTCTTCAGGCCGCCGACCTTCAGCCCAAACCGAGAGAGAGAGAGAGAGAAGGGAAGATCTACCTTAGCCGACCTCCTCTCCAAACCGACGCCTAGCTCCGACTTCCGATCTCCTACTTCCTCTCCGACCTCCAGATCCCGTCGCCCCTGCCCTAGACGACATTCCCTTCTTGTCGTTTCGGGAGTTCCGACATTTGATCGAAAGCAACTACTAGAGCTCGCTTGGCCGTGAAGGTAACTTTCTCCCTTATACACGCTTGTTCGGCCAAATCTCGTAGACCCGCTGAACCGCAAAGGGAGGAAAGGAAGAGAGGTTGTTTAATTTTTGTTTAAAATTAATGTTGATTAATTTTAATCAAAATTAATAATAATTATTATTAATTAATTTTAATTAGTCATAATAAAAAAATTTATTTTAATTAATTATAATTAATTTTAATTAACTGAAATTAGTAAATTAATTATAATTATCATAAATAATTATAATTAGTTTTAAGAGATTAATTATAATTAATTTTTAATTAATTATAATTAACCTTAATTAAAGTTAATATTAATTAACACCGCGAGAACTCAAATGATTCGGAACCATTTTGGACTTGAATCAATTTCAACAAACAAAATTGAACTTGGACTTGGATCAAACTTGCATATTGAACTTGGTCTTGAACCTTACAAAATCACATGGAACTTATTACACATAAAGGATAATAAATTGAAGAAGATAACTTGAGCATTGAATGAGCAACAACAATCCGAATGCAATCATTGGTTGATAAGGAAGTGTAATCTAAAACACAAATAAATACACAAGAATACTTCGGTGAATATTGTGACTCATATGTGAAATATTTCACTCACAAATGATAATGATGGATAACATGAAGTTGCCCTTAAGTAATGAAAGATTTCAAGATTCTTGGAATATGATAGTAGTTCAATATACAAGATCCACACAAGTTGTGTAGAAGCACCTTTGACCGACATCCACTGTCTTGCAAACATGTGTAGCAGTCCCTACAAGTACTTAAGGAGATGCAAGGAGATGTAGTCAACATTGTGATATCCCTACGATCAATGTTAACTAACCAGTAAAGGAAAATGACATTCCCTTACAAACAACTATGGGGTATATGTAAGCATGCATGAGCGATAGTGATATATATCCAAATGAATGTCATGCAGTCCATATAAGGACGAGGATGATTGATGCATATGCTAATCATACAAGCAAAGGTGTTATCATCTTATTGCTTTCAAAGGCAACGGAGAACTTGCCCTCAAATATAAATTTGTAAGATAATACACCAAATTCTTCCAAGCAACGACAGATATTAACAAATAGCGAAACAACCTATGAAGCTGTGAATGGTAAATGCTATGTCAATATTTAAGTAATGATAGTAGGGAGGTCACAAATGAATAATGCAGTTACTTATGTATGTTGAAAGTCAACATACAACAAGCAATATGCAGTGAATATCGGATTCTGCCTACGACCAACTATATGCATACATACAACTGAATACACCAGTCTTCTGCAAGCAAAGAAGAATAATACAAAATAAATGCAAGTGTTTTACGAGCAGCGGAAGAAGTTCTACCATACACATAACATGTCATCTACAAGAAGGGTAGAAGGAGCCTATGACAAGCACTTAGATATTTATACAAGCTTGTAATAAGGCAACAACAAATACATTGATCCTCAACCAACAAGAGCAAAGGATGCATAACAAATACAAGTGACTACAAATCTCTATAAGCTGTCATAGAAGATTCATTAAGTGTCCAAAATACCACCGCACAAGTACACCGTAGTTTGTACACACATAGGTACACTAAAGGGGAAAATACAATCCCAAACCCGCATGGGCCCCGACGAGCGTGTTATTGGTACACACGTAACGTTTAGGGATGCTGCGCGGGTTATCAAAATTTAAACCCGATCCTCCTATGCAGGTAAAAAGGAGTAGACAGAGTTTAATTACGAAATGCCCCCAAACACCCGCATGGGCCCCGACGAGCGTGTTATTGGTACACACGTAACGTTTAGGGATGATGCGCGGGTTATCAAAATTTAAACCCGATCCTCCTAGGCAGGTAAAAAGGAGTAGACATGGTTTAATTACGAAATGCCCCCAAACACCTGCATGGGCCCCGGCGAGCGTGTTATTGGTACACACGTGATGTCTAGGGATGTTGCGCGGGTCAATAAGTGAATTCATGTTTGAACCTGATCCTTCTATACAGGTCAAAAGAAGTCGACAGGGTTCGAACAATAAAACAAATATACGATTGTGGCGACCGTCATATTTGTCTTAATACATTCATATTAGGCCTTCAAGGCCTATAGCAATACGAATTCACTATCAAGGGCATAAGCCTACGAAATCTGATCCTCTATTGATAATTCAATAGAGTTGACAAGATTCAATCAATAAAAGAGAAATGATCCCGAACACCCCGATGATGGCCGTGTTGAATGCAGATCTCAACCGGAGGGGTTCCCAAATATTTTCAAATGCCTCTCAAAAGTCCATTTCAAATAATTCAAAGCTCCACCCAAATACCCACGAAAATCCAAAAATCCACAAAATCCAAAAATCCAGAAATCCCAAAATTCCAAAAATATTTAAAATCTGAAATCTATCCATCAAACACTTAAAGCAAACTCCATCCACCATCCGCAAAAGTTTGCTGAGGTTGACAAATCAAAATTTACTTCAGCTTACAAAAAAGCTAAATGCTTAGTCGAAAATATCACTAGGATCCATTCTCAAACAATCTCCTGCCAGTAAGGACGTGGTACGTGTCCTCTAACCGGCGGTTTGCCGCCAAATGGCACCGCAGGATAAACGGTTATGACCCGGGGCCCTCTGAACCGAGTGGTTTTGCCGCCAAATGGCACCACAGATAACGGTTATGGCCAGAGCCGATACGCTCCTTAATGGCGTTAAATCCTTGAGATATGAATCAATAGAATATGATTGACAGGGCATGAAGCCCTTTGTCAGCTAAGGTGGATTCAAATTTGTCCCCTTAGACAAACATCAACCCCGGTCTACAAGGTCCCCTTGAACCAGAACTCAGATCATAAAGTCCTCACAAAATGAGGGCAAAATCTCCGGGTAGTGTCTTATCTACAAACCCATCTGCCTTCCAAAATTTACCTCAGAACTTATCAGTTAAAACTCCCTCGCCGAATAAAAAGAAAAGCGGGCGGAGGCCGGGACCGAATTTTCGGAGCCCACACTTTTGATGCTTTGTATAATTGTGGTAGTTATCTTTATGCTATATATTTTTGCTTCTGAAATGACTTTGGCGTAGCCATGAAAATTATCCTGAGTTTTTGTTTTCGATTCCTTATGCCAACGCTTACATTGTTGTTGACTGATTTTCTCCATTCATTTCCTTCAGTTTACTTCCAATGAGTTCAGTTGTTGGATGGAGATTCTGTTTAATGTTGATTGAGACTAAGTTTCGGCTCTTTTTTATTAATGATGATGTTGCTTATGAGTCTTATTTCTATCTTCACTGGAGAAATTATTTCAATCCTAAGTGGTTTTGGATTCTGTTTTGGATGTTGGTTTAGTTCCAGGCTTGTGTTATTTGGAAATGTCTTCCTTTGCAATCAATGTTCCAAATACTTAATTAATCATCTGGATAAACCTTCTTTATTCCTTTGTCATGTTGATCTTCTATTTGTTAAGAAATGATGGTTTTACCCTACTTCGTCTTGAGCTTCCCAATTTTTTGTGTATCATATACTGATGTGTTGACCAATCTCCCTGCCCCATATTTTTGCTTCCAATATGGTTTGCAAAGCTGCTTTTGCCCCAATTTCTTGGTTCTTACTATCAGAGTTCCCAACAGATAGGCTGAGGATGTTATTAGGATGTGATTCATGCTTGAAACGGGCTTTCAATTTGATCCTAATGTTCCAATGCCTATCGTATGGTCGTTAGCAGGTGGATTATAACTAACATTTGTCTTGCTGTACCCAATTGGGTTTTTTGGTTAGGTAATATAATGCACGGACTCTGGCTTTCTTGTTTGGATGCCCGACCTTTTCTTGTTTGGTTCACATCTTCGGTTGGTTACTTGGTATTTAAAGTATAATGCCCTGATTTCTATTTTGAAAAGCTTGATTTTCTATTATTATTTTAACACCATGATGAGTTGGGATCCCTTATGCACATTTATGAGTGCCAACCTCCAACATAGCTTATGAAAAAACGATTGTATACAGTGTTTTTACTATTATGTCTCTTCTTTTGGGATGTGATAGTATTGGTCTCATTGCTTCTGAATTGCTAAACGGTGTGGTTATGGATCAACTGGTTTTTGGTAGCCACTAGATTTGGAGGGTTTTCCCCCTTTTCTATGCCTTTATTATGGATCAATTGTTCTCAAGAATCGTTTATCCTCTGTCTCTATTTATAAATGTTTACATACCCTTCATGCACTAATCTATACTTTTCTTTGCTTTTCATACACAACTACTGACGATTCTAGGACTTTCGTCTGCATTCTGCTCCTAGTTTGAAAATTGTTTTCTATAACTAAATCTTTTCTACTTAGTTTGATCCACTGTGGCTGATGTACAGAGACTCCTAGAAGTAGGGCTGAGCAAATGCACCTGACTCAGGCTAAAGATAGTGCAACTATTTTTTGCAAATATTTTTTTTATTTTTATTATATATATATATCAGCACCATCAATTAAGGCTCTATCTGCAAAATCAAAAGGAAAATATGAATCATGCAAAAATGCACCTGAAGGACACTTTGCGTAGCACAATCATCAGCCAAAGGTTTCAAGCAAATATCTGCAAGAGATACCATGCTTCCAGAATAATTTGCATGCAATGTATCAACCTGTTTATCAGAACAGCTAAGGAATCATCACATAGATAAGTAGATACAAACAAAAAAGCTGAAAAGCTTGCATTAATTAGTTTACCTTCTTTTGTATTTCAAAAAGTAATTTCATGTTTTGATCAGTTACAATGCTGGGAGCCATGGCATTTTTAGAAACAGGAACAGTAGCTAACACAAGCTGCAATAAGAAAACTTATTATTTATTATTTAACATGAAATTGAACCACCATGCACTTGTGAGAAAAACGAGAACACTAGCCTATCAAGGCAGAACTTTATTCCCAGAGGCTTTATCTATAATGAACTTGTGCTTCATGATTTATACCAGACCAAGTAGTGCAAATAGAAGGTTCAATGGCATGATATCGCGAGGCCACCATTGAATAAATTACTATCTTACTGGTTTATAATTTCCACAATGCTTCATTATATAAATGAGATGACCAGTAAACTAAGTTACAATTAGAATTTAATTAAATAATGATTGACCAAGAACAACAGCATAACATAAATATGGATTTTACGGATGACGTGTTAAACATGAATGGTAATTATCTGAAACACAAATTGGAATTTATAATTATTTACTGTTTGAGAGAAAACAATACATATTTGAGATGGCATATAAGTAGACCTGTTCAATTCTGTAGAATGGAGCAAGATGATAGTCGAAAAAACGTTTTTCCTCTGCAGCCTTACTGCCATGGCCCACCCAAAGCTGGAACAGGTAAAAATGAAATTAAAAGTGTCCCATAAAATAGCTTTTGCAGGATTCATGACAAAGAAAAAAGAGATGGCAATCAATGTAACGGACAAACATTACAACAACAACATCATCAAGCCTTTATCCCATTATGAGGGGTCGGCTACATGAATCATTTTCCTCCATTGTGTCCTATTTTTTAATGTGACGGACAAACATTAAAAAAAATTAATAATAATAATAATAATAACAAGCATGCATTCAAACAAATGTGTGAAAATATTTATTATTCTGGAAATTGTAGAACAATTACAAAATGCGTGGTTTCCATACTTCCCAGTGTTAAAGGAGCCGAAATGAGAGACGTTACACGAAAAACAAGCTTGTTTCTCGCCTTATCTAATCTGGGTGCAACACCAAATTAAAATAGAGTACGAGTAGTGGAAAGAGTTATAACTAAAAGAGTTATGAAGTATAAGGACTAAGTATTCAAATTGGGCCTTGAACTATGCCTGGTAGGTATTTGTTTTCCTAGTCATCGATGAAGGACTAGCAGAAAGATTTGTTGGAAGAGCCTCAAAGCTACTAGAGAAATTACTCTCATCAAAAAGACTTGTAATAGAAGTACCCAACAAAAAACACTTTTTGAGAGTGCTAAGCAGATCAAATAGATCGAAGTAGGAGAAACAAAAACATCTAGCACCACATACACATACATGATAAAAATAATAAATAAATCATAAAGACAAAAATACCAAGATTTCCATGTTTCTGGGTGGGCTGTAAAAATCACCACGCAAATATTTGAGTGATTCCAGATCGATTTTAGAAAGATTGCTATTCATAAAAGACTTCAAGATTTGATTCAAGGCTTCCAATTGGCACAAATCCATATAAAATTTATAATATTTTTAACAGCAACAATATTGATTAGAAAAGAAAATATACCACTATTTAGCTCAGAGCGGATAGCACAGAAATGATGATGAACACAATCATAATCTCACTGTTCTTTCAAACCGAGATATCATGAACCATCCACTTAGTTAGTAGAGATACTGATGTGAAACATAAAAGGAATTGCAGGAATTTAATAAAAATTGTTAAGCTTACTAGTTTTAAAATTAATGTTTCACAAGATTAGATTCTAAGATTTCTTAGTTGATGTTTTGCGTTGGTATGCAGTTATAAACTAGGTTAGAATGACAATTTAAAATAACAACAAAATTATAGCAAAGCTAGATGCATAAGTAACAGAAATTCACCGGTTAACAAATAGAAAGTTCACTTTCAGTTCCCCTCACACTCACTCTTAAGGGTTTTTTTAGAATGACGCCACTAAAAGACAGAAAACGCCTGCAGTATTGATGCAATCAAAAATTTGGGAGAGGGACCCAAATTTTTTATCACAAAAAGAAGCTCTTTCTAAGAACAAAATAAAGACATAAAAATACTCAAAGACACTTTTTATATCATAAAAAGAAAAGACTTACAAACTTGACTTTCAACATAAGATGACATTACAACCCTTGACTCTTAAACAAAATGACGACAAAAAAAGACACCCTAAACTTGCTGACTTTGAGAAGAATGATACAATGGAATGGTTACTATGGAGAGAAGAAAGAGATTAGGAGACGAGACGAAGATTGGAAAGAGCCCGCAGGATTTCCGAAGGAGGTGGAAGAGGGAATGGACAAAGCTCGCAAGCTTTTCCAAACAACAAACCCGCAGGTTTTATCTCCAAAAATCATAATCATCACATAACATTTTCTTCTCAAAATATCTCATATATATAGGCCATAGAGGGGAAACATAACAGCCAAAAGTTCCCAAATTCCCATATAGAAATGAAAGGCCAAGAGCCTTCCGCGCTGAAATCCCAAGAGCACATCAAAATTCCAATGAATAAAGTCACGGAACCAGCCAGGAACAAGAACAAGCCACAGTTTCAGCACAGGAAACCAGGAGGCAATTCAGGGAAATCAATTCTCGGTCAAAAAAGAGGTGCCAGAGCAGTAAAGTAGACAGCCACCCGAAGAGGCAGCAACAAACCCGAAGAGAGCAGCAGCCCGTGAGAGAAAAATCCAGAGAAGAAAAGCTGCAGCAACTCCAATTCAAGAAGAATGTGAAAGATCAAGTTCCACCCACCAAATCTTGCTCCCAACATTAATTTTATAACTAAACATCAGCTCATAATGAGCTACACTTCTACTAGATATTAATGAGCTTGCACCAACTAAAAATTCAACAACTAAAGCTCCAACCAAAAATAGCCAAGGCCCATATGAAACCAACAAGCAGCCCAAAAGACAAGATGGAAGATGAAAGGACAAGAATATGAAGAGAATGAGTGGGGGAAGATGAGAAGACACAAGGCAAGAAATTACAAGAAAAACTCAACTTGTGTTGACCCCCCCCCCCTTGTCTACATCAAGTATTGCCCAATGAAAAGTTAGCTAGAGAGAAAGGAGTCCGTGGATATCGAATAACTCGCCACTGTCCGGGGATTTGGTGCTCGTCGATGTCAGTTTCCAAAGTGCAAAGGATCTGGTCGACATAGTCATCAACAATGTGATCGATCTCCAAGTTGAGGTCGAAGAAGGGCGATATCAGCACATCTACTCGTCCTTGATGATTGTATACGAATCCATGGTCTCTTTTAGGATCAGCCATTCATGGGGAGTAGGCCGGGGTTGTGTAGCTCCTTCCTTGGATGGTGTATGAAGTACGGAATGAAGTACGGAAGAAGAGAATGAGAGGAGGGAGAGGTTAGGGTGGTCGGCCAAGGCTAGTTGGAAAGGTCACTTTAATTTCAGATTTAGGTCTAGGTTAGTGGAGGGGAAATAAATTAAAATTTGAAATCTAATTTCAGATTTTATAATTGGAAAGGAGAGAATAATTTTGAAATTTGAATCTCCTCTAAAGGAAGAATAAGTGGGGTGGCACACCTTGAAAGGAGGGCGTTGATTGAGAGCATTAATGGAGACAATTAATTAAGAGAGAGAGGGGTAGGGGGGCCGACCAAAGGAGAGAGGGGAAGGGTGTCCACATTCAACGAACGTGTCTACATGCAATGAATGTGGGATTTGGAATTAAATCCCAATTAATTTCAGATTGGGAGTGATTTGGGGGGCTTCTTAAAATAGATTTACTAATTAGGAAAGATTTTGAATTTCAAATCTCATTTGAATTCAAATTAAAAGACTTTCAAAATTAATAATAGGATAAATTAGGAAGGTGTTTAAGAGCCAATTTGAATTTGAAAACAAGGGCTTATGGAGGAGGGGCCAACAGCTTGGGCTTGGGATCTTGGAATGTAGGTTCTCTTACAGGCAAATTAATGAAATTATTTGATATTATGATTCATAGGAAAATAAATATTTTTATGCATTCAGGAAACTAAATGGGTTGGGGAGAATGCTAAGGAGATTAATAGTTTAGGATTTAAACTTTGCTAGTCTGATAGAAGTCGTACTAGAAATAGTGCATATGTGATTATAGATAAGAATTTGAAGGATAATGTAATAAAAATTGATAGAATTGGAGACAAAATTATAACTTTGAAAATTATTTTTGATGCTAAGATGATTAATATTATAAATGCTTATGCTCCTCAAGTAGTTTTTGATATGTGTTTAAAATTGCAATTTTTGAATATTAGAAGAATTAATTCAAAAGATACCTCTTGAAGAAAGAGTTTTTATTTGAGGATATTTAAATGAACATGCTGATAGAGAGGTAGAGGATTTTAAAAGTATTCATGGTGGAATGGGTTTAGAGAGACTAATGAAGGTGATAAGACTATATTAGAACTAATGAAGGTGATAAGACTATATTAGATTTTGCTGTAGTTTATGATTTTGTAATTGCTAATACCTTAGTTAGAAAAGAGATTAGCATCTCGTCACTCATAAAAATGAATATAGTAAAACTTAGATTGATTATTTTCTTATAAGAAAAATAAATCATTTAGATTGCAAAGATTGTAAAGTTATTCCGATTGAAAGTTCATACACCAAACATCGCTTATTAGTTTTGAGCTTTAAGATGAAGGGGCAAAATATAAAAATATTAAAACATTGTTCTAAGATTAGATGGGGCATTTAAAGAGCACTGACAAAAAATATTTTTGAGAGTAAGATTTGAAATCTTAAGATTTTGTTTGTGCATGTGGAAGCGAATGTTATATGAAAAAAGTAACTAGTAATATTAAGAATGTTGCAAAGGATTTACTAAGAGTTTCAAAAGAAAAACCTCCTAATAATAACAATAGTTAGTGGTAGAATCAAAATGTGCAAGAAAATATCAAAAATATGAAGCTTTGTTATAATAATTGATTTCGATGTAAAAACTTTGAAAATTGGAAAAGATATAAAGAAGCTCGTAAGGTGTCTAAGAAAGCAATCTACAATACAAAGATTTTAGCGTTTAATGATTTATATAATAAATTAGATTCTACAAAGGGAAACATATGTGTATAAATTAGTCAAACAAAAAGATATGAGTAGTAAGTATTTAGTTCAAGTGAAGTGCATTAAAGATGAAGATCAAAAAGTGTTTTTTTAGAAGAGGATATTAAAAAAAGGTGGATGAGATATTTTGTTAAGCTTTCAATAAAGATTATGAAAATAAGATTGACTTTAGTGACCTTAGCACTCTAAATGAAAATAAAAATTTTTATTTTTATCGGCATATTAGTAAAACGAAGTTAGAGAGACTTTAAAGAAAATGAAGTGTGAAAAAACTAGTGGACCTAATGATATTCCTATAGAGGTGTGGAAATGCTTAGGAGATGAATTAATTTATTGGCTTACGAAACTTTTTAATATTATTTTGAAAACTAAAAAGATGTCAGATGAGTGGAGAATGAGTATGTTGATTCCTATTTTTAAGAATAAAAGTGATGCACAAGATTTTGCAAATTATAGAGGAATTAAGTTGATGTGTCAAACTTTAAAACTTTGGGAGAGTTATGGACCATAGGATACGACGTGATTCTAATGTTTCTCCAAATCAATTTGAATTCATGCCAGGTAGGTCTACTATGGAAGCTATTCATATATTGAGAGGGTTTATGGAGAAGTTTAGAGAGAATAAGAAGGATCTACATAAGATTTTTATTTATTTAGAGAAAGCATATGATAAAGTTCCAAGAGAAGTGCTATGGAGAGTTCTAGAAAGAAAGGGGTTAATAATGCTTATATTCAAATCATTAGGGATATTTATGCAAGAGCTGTTACTTATGTTTAAACACAAGGTGGCTTGGCCAAGTATTTTCCTATTTTCAAATATACATAGGGATATTGATGTAGAACGAACATGCGAAGGAGCTTCTCAAGAAAATTAAAAGTGAACGACAACGTAATTTCAATTAATATCTTATTGAGATAGCAAAAAAATCATTAAAGAAATCGTAGTTATCAACTAGCTTAGGCGAAGAAGTATGTAGATTAGCCAAAACTTTCAGACAATCAAAAATAGTAGCAACACTACAAGCTATTACAACAATCCGCCATTTAATAACGAGAAGTTCACCTTGGGGAAATACTCACTCAACTATACTAGGCTTTGCGGGAGAAGAATTTCAGCACACCATACGATGCCACGAGGAAGGTTGTGATGCCAAGGGTCTTGAGCCACGGAGAGGTCGACGATGACGTGGAGGGCGTGAATGCTGGACTTTCGAGACTCCAAGTGTGCTTTGCAAATTTCCGGTCGTAGATGCTCGCAAGGATTGGTACGACTCTTTCCAAGTACTCTTCTACGGTGGTTTCGTCTTCAAATCCTACGTCGAAGCAAGGTGACCGTAGGATATTGATGCTCCCATCGGCGTTGAATACTAGACCCCACTCAAGCTCGGGATCCGCCATTCAACATTGAAGAGAATCGGGGAGAGAGGTGTTGTCTTCTCCTTTTCTTGCTGAAATTTCCCAAGAGAGGGAGTGAGGAGGTGGTCGGCCGAAACAGGGAAGGAAGGTGGGCGGGTGGATGGGATGAGGAAAATTAGGTTAAGGAAGGGATAGAGGGGAGTTACAAAAATCTGAAATTAATTTTCAGAATTTGTGTAATTTGGAAGGAAGGAAATTTGAAATTGATTTCAAATTATCAAGAGGATTAAGAGGCAATTAATGGGCATTAATGTGGCCCATTAAGGAGGAGGCCGGCGGCTTAATAGAGAGAGAGTGTTAACCTCTACGCATTAACCCAGCAAAAAAAAATCAAATTAAAATACCTGTGAAACCGCTGGATCCTCGAATCATGCCGAGATCGCGTTGATTCGGCGTCGTTCGCATCACTTCCCTGCAAACCCGGCGCAAATCCTGCTCAAAACCAGCGATCTCGCCTCGACCGTGCTCCATCTTCGCCTCTATAAAACGAAGCCGAACACGACTCCTCTTCCCCCGTTCGCTCTCTGCTCTTCCGCTCTTCGATCCTCTGCTTCCCGAACTCCTCTCTTCCACGATCACTTCTGCTCCACCCGATTTCCTCTGCCCTTACCGTGTCCGTCCAACCTCCGGCCGAGAGAGCCAA